GGCATTCTACCCAGGGTGACAGCTTGAGGCTCTGTCTCAAAAAAAAAAAAAAAAAAAACACCACATATTAAGTTCCCACAAAAGTATAATACAGTGTTTGCTTAAAATAGCATTTATTTCCATACCTGTGTGTAATACTGATAGGTTACAGGAAAACCAGATATCATTGCTTTTTGATTTTTGTTTAATTTGAGGTGGGCTAGGTATCTGCTTGGCTTAAATATGTAAGTTTGTGTCAAAGTTATGTTAATTTTAGTTATTTTTATTTTACACATGATTCTAACATTTTAAAAAATGATTTCTAACATTAGGAACGCAAGAGAGCTCTTGAGGCAGAACGGCAGGCCCGTGTAGAAGAATTGTTGATGAAGAGGAAAGAACAAGAAGCCCGAATTGAACAACAGAGGCAAGAAAAGGAAAAAGCCCGTGAGGATGCAGCTCGGGAAAGAGCCAGGTATGTCCTTTGCTAGCTTATTTGATCCTGATGAACACATGTGAGATTTGTCTTTTTGCGCTTGGCTTACTTATTTTACTTAACATGATGTTCTCCAATTCCATTTCTGTTGTGGCAAATGGCAGGGCTTTTTTTTTGTCTTTGTGTTGAATTTCCATTTTCTCATATATTTCTCTGAGCTTAATTATAACCCATATTTGAAATCATTAGGCTGGCCAATGTACGCTCAAAAGAGGTACTCCTATAAGCTGTAAGGAAAACTAATCAGACTAACTGCAGACTTCTTGACTGAAAGCCTACAAGCCAAAAGTGAGTGGTACCCAACCTCAGCCTTCCAAAACAGAATAATGGCCAGCCTACGTCTTGTACCCTGCAAAACTAAGTTTCTTACGTGAGGGAGCAATAAAGATTTTCTCAGACAAGCAATCACTGAGGCAATTTGTGAAGAACAGACTTGCCCTGCAGCAGGTACTCAGACCTACCAGATGAGCATGGTAGATACCCACCAGAGTAAAACTATCCCAAAGCTAAAGTTCAGAGGCCAGAAACCACAATGGTTGAAGAGGTAAAACAAAGTAATAAGGATCTACCCAATAGAATGAACAGAAATCTACCATACTCATCAATTCTTTCAATAAATGTGAATGGCTTGAATTCCTCACTGAAGAGACATAGCCTGACCAAATGGATAAAAAAATACAATCCAAGTATCCATTGTCTCTTGGAAACACATCTGAGCCACAAGGAGTGATTTAGTCATTTAGACTCAGAATGAAAAGGATGGAAAACAAATTTTATGCAATTGGAAACCAAAAAAGCCAGTGTAGCCATTACAAAAGTAAAGAAAGACAAAGATGGTCACTAATGGCAGAGAGACCAAAACAACAAGAATACTTAATAATCCTAAATATTTATTCTTATAATACAGAAGTGTCCAGATTCATAAGTGAAATTCTACTAGATTTAAACAAAATGATAAACAGCAGTATCATAATTGCCGGGGACCTCCACACCCCACTGACAGAACCGGACAAATCCTCCAAACAGAAAACAACACATTGGTAATGGCTTTGTTGGGGATGGTAAATTGAGCTGTGATAAACAGTCTAGTGTAAGTGTCCTTATGAGAAAATGATTTTTTTTCTTCTGGGTAGATGCCTAGTAATGGGATTGCAAGATCAAGTGGGAGGTGTAATTTGAGTTCTTTGAGTATTCACCATACTTCCTTCCAAAAAGGTTGTATTTACAGTCCCTTGGATTTGGTTTGCTAATATTTTATTCAGGACTGTTGTATCATTGTTGATCAGAGACATTTGACTGTAGTTTTCTTTTCATGTTTTGTCTTTACCTTAGATATTCATGTGATGCTGGCTACATACAATGTATTTATATAAGTATAGATGTATTTTTTCGTAAAGTTTTAGAATTAGTGGGATAACTCACCTTTAAGTATTTGGTAGAATTCAACCATGTAGCCATCTGTTCCTAGGCTTTTCTTTACAGGGAAGTTTTTTATTTCTTCTTCTATCTTGTCAGTAGTTATTGATCTATTTAGACTTTCTATTTCTTAATTGTTCAATTTTGGGCAATGTGTAATTTTTTTGGAATTTATTTTCTCTAGATCATTCAAATTTTTGACATTGTTTACAATGGTGTCTCTTATTTTCCTTTTTATTTCTGAGGTGTCTATTATCTATCACTAATCAGCATGGTAGTGCTAAATTTACTTTTTTAAAAATTTTATTTAATGAAGTCTTTTCTCTTTTTTCGTTAATTAGATAAGCTAAGAGTTTGTTGGTTTTAATTTTTAAAAATTCAACTCTTAGTTTTACTGATACTTTTTGCAATTTTTTTGTTCTTTGATATACCTATTCTGATTTTTGTTATTTTCTTCATTCTGCTGATACTCGGTTTAGTTCATCTTTTTTCTAGTTCCCTGAGCTATAATATTAGCTATAATTTCTTCCTTTGAATGTAGGCATTTCTTACTATAAACTTGCTGCATCCTATAGATTTTTGGTTTACTATGTTTTCATTTTCATTTGTCAAGATATTTTCAAATTTACCCTTGACTTCTTCTTTGACCCACTGGTTGTTTAAGAGCATATCATTTAATTGCCACATATTTGTAATCTTTGAAGATTTGTCACGTTGTTGACTTCTAGTTTCATATTATCATGATATGAGAGAATAGTAGCTGTGATTAGTTTTTCTTGAATTTAGTAAGAGGTGTTTCATGGTTTAACATGTCTTCTGTCCTGGAGAATGTTCCATGAGTGCTAGAGAAATATGTTTATTTTGTTGCTGTTCTATGGAAAGTTCTGTGTATATTTATTAGGTCAATTTATTTAAAAGTATAGTTCGCATCCAGTGTTTCATTATTAATTTTCTGTCGATCTATCTTTTGTTGCAGTGAGGTATTAAGTCTCTGGCTGTTACTGTATTGGTATTATTTCTCTCTTCATGTCTTTTAATATTTATATTTTTAGTTGCTCAAGTGATATACATATGTATGTATATATATCTTTACAATTATTTTGTCCTCTTGATGAATTGACTTCTTATGACCTGTGTTTTCTCTGTTGATAATTTTTAGGTGAAGTCTATTTCATCAGATATAAGTATAGCCATAAAATATCTTCTTCCATCCCTTCATATTCAGCATATGTGTTCTTAATGCTTTAGTGCGTCTCTTATTGGTGATATGTAGTTGGATCTTATTTTTATCCATTGAGCCACTCTGTGACTTTTAATTAGAGAATTTACTCTATTTACATTCAGATTATTAGTGATAGATGAGGACTTACTACTGCCATTTAAAAATTTGTTTTCTGGTTGTTTAGTGCCTTCTTTCTTTCTTTCTTTCTTTGTTGCTCACTTTTGTGATTTGATAACTTTATATAGTGCTAAGCTTTGATGCTCTATCATTTGTTTATATGCTGTAGTTTTTTGGTTTGTGGTTGCCAGGAGACCTATATAAAACATCTTATAATTCACTATTTTAAGGTTATAACAACTCACTTCTGTCACATACAAAAACTAGACTTTTATCGTCCATCCCCACAATTCATGTTTTCCTTTTTTAGTTTTGAGACAGAGTCTTGTTTTGTCACCCAGGCTAGAGTGTAGTGTTGTAGTCATAGGTCTCTACAGCCTCAAACTTCTGAGCTCCTGTGATCCTCCTGCAATTCTAATCTCCAAGTAGCTAGGACCTGGGATGACATGTTCTCAGTACCCTGCCTGGTTAATTTTAAAATATTTTGTATAGACTCTTTTGCCCAGGCTGGTCTCAACTCTTGGCCTCAAATAATCCTCCCACCTTGGCTTTTCAAAGCACTTGGGATTACAGGTGTGAGTCCCCACACCTTACCAATTTATGTTTTTAATATTGCAGGGGTTTCCAAAATCTTTTTATACTGTGTATTCCATAACAATTTATAGTAGCTTCAGTTATTTTTGATGTTTTTGACCTTCAACCTTCATACTGTAGATCTATATGAGTTATGTGCCACCCTTATAGTCGTATAGTTTTTTGGATTTGACTACCTATAATATTTACCTGTACCAGTTAGTTTTATACTTTTATATGTACTTATGATAGTAATTATTATCATTTTCTTTCCTCTTGAAGAACTCCCTTAAGCATTCTTATAAGGCAGGTTGAGTGCCAATGAATTCCTTTACCTTTTGTTTGTTGGAAGAAGATTTTATTTCTTCTTTGTTTCTAAATGTCAGTTTTCCTAGATGTAGTATTTGTTGTTGGCATTTTTTTTTTTTCCAGCACTTCAAGTATATTATCCCATTCTCTCCTGGCTTGCCAGGTTTCTGCTGATTCTGATTTTTTAGAGATAGATAGAGTCTCACTATGTCGCTCTCAGTAGAATGCCATGATGTTACAGCTCACAGCAACCTCAAACTCTTGGGCTTAAGCGATTTTCTTGCCTGAGCCTCCCAAGTAGCTGGGATTATAGGTGCCTGTCACAATGCCTAGCTATTTTGTGTTGCAGTTGCCATTGTTTTTTTTTGTTAGCTGGCCCAGGTCCAAATTTGAACCCTCCAGCCTCAGTGTATGTGGCTGGCACTGTTAATCACTGTGCTAAGGGTGCTGAGCCTGATTCTGATTTTTTAAAATGTTAAATCCAGCTTGCATTCCTGGGATAACCCCATCTTTGTTTTGTTATTTTATTGTAATTTGCTGACACACTTCATTGCTAGATTTAGATAACTAATTTTTAAGGGTTTTAACCTGGGGAGTATTTTTCAAAATAGTAAACAGGTTTATGAATTATTACATAAATAGGACATTACACAAAGGTATAAGTGTACAGCTTGATCAATTATCATAATACCCATGCAACTGCAACCTGTTCAAGAACTAGAACATAATCGTACTTCAAAGAAAACACCTTATATACCCTCCACATCACTGTTTCTTCTTCCTCATGGTGATCACTTTCCTTATTTTTTAACAATATTGGCTAGTTATTGGATCTATGCCTAGGAATGGAATTGGTGGAGGCTAGGGTATGCGGATAGTTAACTTTAGTAGACATTGCCAAATGTCTGAGTTTGAGTATTCAGATCCCCTGCACCCTTGCTTATAATTGGAATTGATAGTCTTAAATTTTTTTTCACAATTTTATTGTAGTATAACTGATATACAAAAGATTGTACTTACTAAAGTGTACAATTTTTTGTGTTCTCACAAATCTAACTCCCATGAAACCATCACTACAATCAAGATATTAACCTGACCCCCAGTTTTTTCATGCTTGGTAATCTATTTTTCTTTCTTTCCGCCCTCATCCCAATACAGCCACTGATTTGCTTTCTCTTTTGACTATTGTCTTTTACTAATCATGATTATTTGGAGATTCTTTAACGTGTACATACTTATAGCTTGCTCTGTTTTTAGAATTGCTAAGTAGTATTTGTATATATATGCTGCAAATTATTTTCATTTACTTGTTTATAGACATTGGAGTTACTTCTAGTTTTTT